CAGTAAGCAGTGAAATAAAAATTACTTCGCAGTTTCACGTTTTGTGGAGGAAAAAAGGCAGTCTATCTACTACCATGTTAGAAAACATGACATTTCTTGACATACAAGCAGGTGCCAAGCTGTGCTGCTTTGACAAAGAATTTACATTGAAAACTTCCAGTTAACACCATCACTGCACCAGGTCTTTATTCCATGGTGTCAAGCAGCAAATCATCAGAACATCTTCTCCTAAAGACCACTCGACTGCAACTTTGTCACAACTACTTTTAATAATTATGCTGATTCACTGGCGATATGTCAAATACTTCAGTACACAGTCATTCAGACCCATCATGTATACCTCTTTACCCATTTTTTATTCTAAAGTCATATCGCAGAAGTTTCCAATATCAGCTGCAGTTCTTTCTGAACGAATACAGCAGTCTATGACATGGAATCCAAGAAATCAACTGGCAAAGCAAAACTTCGGATCCGCTGATAATGAGCAGTAGCTGAAACACACACTTTACCTTTTGTCTTGCCTCGATCTTCTTGGCCCAGCTGCTCTCTGACCACTTCTCGTTGACTTGGGCCTTCTCCCAGGCTCTTCTCACAAACTTCTGGCGGGCACTGTGAACCAACATACAATAAGCTGTCTTACTAGGAGTGTGCATTAATGTTTCATCAAAGTAAAAAAATATTCCTGTTCCAGCAGCACAAAGCCACCAAACTCATGCTAATGTCTGCTCTATATCGGTTGATCACTGGTCAGCTGGACCGTTCTTAATACAAGTAGTATGGCAGGGTGGTCACATTAGACACTCGTGTAGACATATGTGAAGTGCAGTATGGACACAGATCTACAATGTCAACAGGGCTGTAGTCATTCATTGAAAATCTTAGTCGCCGCAAATTATACTTTTGCTTCAACCAAATGGTCAGATAAACTAAATCAGCGGTAATGCATCGAGTGCCACACTACTGGAAAGCCTTATTATTACTCATAAACTATAAATGAAACATAAAAAGGTAGTATTTGCAGCCTACTAAATCAATCTAACCTACTTGTCCTACACTACTCAGAGCAGACCTGCATGCCGATACTCACAATTTCTGAAAATAGAACTAAATCACTGGTGATCCCAGCACAAAAACTATTGAGGAATGCAACACAGACAAGACATCCACTGTTTTTACATTATCTATCATGTTGGTCGTTGAGTTGTGGCATTGGCAGTTTTACACTCAACTTTTTAACAAATTCAGCGTAACCTTTTCGACATGGTGTCAATTACGTTGGAGAAAACTCTGAGCGAACATTAAACAAGTCAGACCCAGCAGTTTCCATTAGACTGGGCCAGTTCAAAGTTGTGTGAAGGCTGTGCTCTTCACAGGCAGTCTGTTCCTACTGCCACCAAAATGAACGTATTATTTCTGGAACGCTATTAATGAGGCGCTTTCCTCCGTATGATTGACCAAACAATGAAAATTTTGTCAAATGAGAGCATAATCAACTAACTAGTCAACCTGGAGACTACAGTCCTGAATGACACACCACCCTGTGAATTTTGTGGGTTACCTTTATTAAGTTATTTTCACAGATCAACATCTCATGCATGTAGCCTGTTAGGACTAGATACTTGTGTGAGTCTTCAGTGGTTTTCCTGGATTCAAAAGAAAAGGCAAAAGACCTGTTTCTGTACAGCCACTCACCTGTGAGGTACTTTGATGACATAGTCTGTGAGCTGCATGCACTTGAAGGGCATGGCTTGCCTCTTGACTCCTGTGCATGGACCATCAACAAGAGCCTGGAAAGCACAAGAACCAATTCACATCAATAAGTCAAACGTAAAGGTAACACTGCTCAATCTGCTGTATTCCAAATCACTCACCCTGTTTTGGTCAATGACATCTACGATGGCCACCAGCTTGCCAGCATGGGGTCCGAAAGAGACGTAGGCAACACGGCCGATCTCAACGAAGCGTTTGAACACCTGAGAGGTGTCAAATAAAAGCACATCAGAAAACATACAATCGGAAATGTGTTGTGTATGAACAGCTGGGTACACTAATATCACGACTTGATGAATCTACATAAAAGGCCTTCTACAACCAAACGTTTGGAGGCTGAGGATCAAACCGTTGTGTGATATAAAACTGATTAGAGCTGTATCACCCAGTTTACATACATCTACTGTTATCTAGATAAACAGTCACAGAATACAAATACACGTAACACTGTGTACAGCGAAAAGTATGTCTTCGTGAAACCATCTTGTAACAAAAAAAATGGCACTGACATTTAGTTGTGTGCAGTTGTGATTTACAAATGATTCATACATTTAAAGAAAGAAATTTTTAGCAACTATCTTATGTACTATAATCTTACATATATCCCACGTTAATGAAAACAAGTATTTTCTTTGCATCACTACCATTTCTATTACAATGCGGGCTGCACTCACTTTTTGGCAAGAGGGAAGCTGGATTGTACGAGTTAAATTTAGCTTTAAACGCTAATTCGACAGGCAAAAGCACTACGGCTGGCTAAAATTTAAAGCACACAATAGGGAAAGTAATGCAGAGACATGAACACAACGATCCCCGCGGACGGCTATCAGTTCTTAGGAGACGATCACTTTTTGGCATAACACCGGCCAGCTGCATTGCACAGCTTAGCAACAACTAGCTGGTGTTTCTGTACCGTACAGACAACAGAACTACATTAAACAGTGAGTATTAAACGTATTTAGGTGACACGCCGTCTTGAGTGTATGGTTTAAGTCAATGTTGGGGTGGAAAACGAGACGAAGTGGGTTTGCTTCACCGAGCAGCTCTCGGCCCACTCAGCCTGACAGACCACGTTGTAGTGCGGCAGCAGCCGACATCTTACACATTTAACGTTAAAACATAAAACTACGAGACGCGACTTTGTCAAACTCTTCGCAGAGACGCGTATGGGTGCGTTACAGATACACATGGCTCTTCTTGTCCCATAACAAGGCGATATAAACAAAGAAATTCGACTTGAAAATGCTAAGCTTTTCACGGTGAACTCACCATGATGGCGGTCCGGGAGCAGAAAGGACGTTAGAGCTTCCGCCAGGCGCACATACGGCTTCCGCTTAGGCGGTGCACATGCGCAGTTCGTATTTGTTTTATATTATTACCGAAACATCATAATAAAACCTCTTTGTGTGTATATTATCTAATATTTGGAGGCTACTGACACAGTACGCTTAATACAAAGGGAAATACCCTTCAAACATACTCTGGACAGCCTAAACATAAACCCCTGCGTCACACGCTTGTGTTGCCTTCACAGACCCCGTGAAACGTCGGAACACCATCGGCCTGGTTGTAGACCAGTACAACTAAATCTCAAGTCTGACTTTTAACAAGCCCCTATATTTAGCAACAGGGGCTCCCACAGAAATGCTTCATAGAGATGAAGTCTTGGGTTTGCACCATAGGCTGTATAAAAAAAAAAAACAAAAGCCATAAATGAATTTTCGGAATTCCACTATGCTGTTGTAAAATCGAGACTATTTGAAAACTATTTCAATATCAGAGTGAAGAAATACTTCAGTTTGGTATTTGCACACAGTTCATAATTAGTAATATGATGTGCATAGACAACTACAGGTGCAGTTAACATTTCGGTTACCAGGGTGACCACCAGAAATGCTGATGTATTTGAGGAGGGGATGTCATATGTATTACATATGCAAGACATCCATAGTTTATAAATGATTTCAGAGGTGAAAACTCCAGCCATGTGAGATGATCATTTACCTGGCTGCTGCTGATTACAGCAAAATGTATTTTCATTCATACCATATTTGGGTTGTTTCTCTAAAGATTAGAGAAGTCCTGCTCTTTATCACAAGCATGTCACTGCAACTTTTAGGAAACCTTTGGCAAACCTGGAAAATAAAGGAAATAAATAAGGAATCAAATATAGATAGATATGATAGGGGAGTGTCATATGTTACTCAAATTTTAAGGCCCTCTGCCACAGACCTGTGAATATGTCAATAAACGCTTTATCAGTCAAAAGATGAATGAAAAAAAGAATAACGACGACAATAAATTCTCAAAAAAAAAAAAACTTCTACGCTTTGACTTGTGTAAAAACTCTCCTTCACTGCACTGGGGTGCTGCTACGTGTTCAGACTAGTGACAGATTTCAAAACCTTGGTTCATGATTAAACCACTTGCGTGACTCACAGCAGTTAAGAGAAGTCAGCAGAACAAAGAAGTTGCTTTAAGAACCGTTTTTTGTGGTTGTGGTTCAGTTTCCAGTAGACACTTCTACATTGTGGTTCTCTATCACCAAACTGCATTTATTTTGTTAAAAACAGTGGTGGAAACATCCTTAATTTAAATACTGATGTATTACCAGCATTACCTTATTTAAAAATGTTGACTTAAGTGTGATGATTGTTTCTTTTTTTATCTTTTTTTAAAAAAAAGATCATTTATGTGGAATCCAGAAACCTGCAAACATGCAAAAGTTTAATAACTAGAGTCTGGTTTGGTTTTTATTGTCGAGGCTATGTGCTAGTACGGACTTGAAACCACATAAAAACATGTTGAGAATGTTATAGGAATATTTGATGAAACAAATATTCTCAGAAAATTATTGTCTGTACATTTTTACTTCAACCAGTCGGTGCATCGGTTTCAGCAGCAGTGTTAATAGGCGAAGCAACTCAAATTAATACACACTGGTGTAGCACATTTCATGCCTCTGTGCTCAAAACTTACAGTAAAACGGGAGAAATGTAGTAAAAGGCAGCACATCGCCTCCTTGAAATATAGCTCGTTCATGAATCGTGTCTGAAATCTAGAGGAATGTCGAATGTTGAAAAATCAGACTTGAGTGATTTTTATTTTTATTTTTATTTTTTTTAAAGCCGTGTGGTGTTCCTGAAGGCAGCACCGTCACTGGGAGTGTCTCTGGTGAACAAACACCGAAAATCATACCACGGAAGTCTTCAGCGGAGACAGCACCGGAGACCAGAGGTAACTACGCACTTTTATTTCAATTTGTTTGATCAACTTCAGTATTTAGGAAATTTTTCTTCATTTTTTTTGTCACACTTTCGACTTATTTATTCCAAATGAGTTCCACTGTTTGTATCAAAACTATTTAGTAACATTAAAAACAAATGACGCAATTTTTGTGCCTCTTGTGTAGCTTCATAAACTTTTTTTTGTTATTTTTGTTCAACGTTTAAATTTCACATTCTCAGTGGTGACTCTGGTTTTCACATTTGAGGTAGTTTAACGAAAGAGCAGGTTTCTACTCTGGTTTTAGGGGAAACGAAAGCTAAGCAAACAGGAGGGTCCCTGAACGTTTCCGTGTGCAGCGACGACAGCGTAGAAATTCACATAAAATATCATTTTAGACAATTATGTATCTGAATATATTGTCCTGTACTGGGATTATCATAGTGAATCTAAAAATGTAATATATATGTAGACAAATTCTATGTGTCAATGTAATTTGATAGTCTATAGTCAAGAAAAATAATCGTGTGTGTGTGAATATAGTGGAATGTTTGTTAAAATGTATTTTAAAAAAATATTTACAAGTTTTTCTTTTGTTCTTTTTTGCTAATCTGACTTCATCTAAGGGCTCAGTTGTCCTTAAAGTATATGGGGTTTTTTTCTTCCCTCTCGTGTATGAATTGATGAATGCGTTTGTGTGATTCATAGACTTGCTGCCACTGTGTCCCAGCCAAGCTAAAAATGGAACTAACGCATGTCAGTTTTAATTTCAGCCAGAGAAAAGTTCAAAATTCATTGATGTCAGTTAAATACTGAACCATGAAACCAACAACGAATCTTTAATTGTAACTGATCATTCCATAATTGTCCATTAGAATTCCATTTTAGGTGATCACTGCATCATCCCTCTGTTGTGGACTAGATTGATTTTATAAAACCGCATGATGTTTATGCACTGCAATTTAAAGGGAATTTTTTAATTACATTTTTTAAAATTGTATTTTTACCGTAACTGAGACAAAACAAAGACTAACAATAATGGGAAAAGAGAAGACTATGGCAAGTGATGAAGGTTCGCTGCTGTTAAAACTAAACTGGTAAGGTTGGGACTCTGTAGCCCACATGCTACCCACAATCCACCAGAAGACTCCTGGAGTTTATACAACTACATTATATTTATGTTCAGATTTGTCAGTTGCTTTCTGTTCATGCAGTGTATTAAGTTTAAAAAGTCATTGTAGTATCAGTGCTGTCTGTGCTTGAATGTTTTGCCTCCACAGTTTTTTTTTTTTTAAACAATACTAATGTGATGTTGTTGTATAGGTGACAGAGCCAGAATGGGGAGGAATCCAGTCAACCACAAGCTGTAAGAGCCAGTTTTTTGTTCTACTCAGACTGGTTTAAATGAGTCATGGCATGTAGCAGCACTCCCTTAGCTGGTATGAGTGGTGTAAATAGTTTCATTGTGTTGTAAAGTTTTCAGATATCTCCATTAGGCTGAACACGTAGCACCACCCAGTACAATGGAAGTGGAATGTTGTTGCACTGCTTAAAGTGTGGACATTTTTTGAGGACCGAGATACTGAGTCCTGTACATTGACCGAGTGTAAAATGAATAAATGGGGATAAAGAAGTGAAATCTGTTTTTAGTAAAGTCTATTAAGTTGATCATCTTTTCTGCCTTTTAGTTCGACACTGCAGCCTTTAGATGTGTCTGGTTTCCCAGTACGCAACGGAATAAAAGGTAAACTTCACACATCTTTTCCTGAAACTTAAAAAAATGCAACAAAAAATGATGATTTATTAATTTTTTAAAAAATCTTTCATCAAATTCCTCATTTCCGCAATATATTGCAGGTGCAGCCTACTTGAGTTTACTGTCACATTTTGTATCGACTCACAAACACAAAGAGTTTGCCTTGAAGAAACCAGCAGGTGCCGTGGTGAGGATAGCAGAGCTTGAGGACACAATTTACTGTGAGGATCAAGATGTGGTGAACGGGTGGGGGAAGTTCTACCTCCCCGAGACAGTAACCATGCAGGTTGTAGGTGTGGTTGAGGGCACACCGTACCCGTGTGACCAGCTAGTTCTGATGGCCTGTGATGACAATCGTTTTTACGCCTATGATGGAGAGGAGCTGCATCTTGTGGCTTCAAGCCTAGAGTCTGATGGAATAGAGTTTCCAGCATCAAAGAGCTTTTACAAGGGGGAGGCCTTCAAAGACATGGTGAGAAGTTACAGTCATTTACTGGGAACAAGCAAGAAGATGGTTATGATTGACTACCCTGACAAATGATCCATGACAACATTTTTTTTGACATTGTGTGTAGACTAAGGAGGACTGGGCTGAGGTGAGGAAAGGCCCTGTGGGCAGGAGGTTGGACCAAGAGCATCAGAAATTGGTGAAAGCAACTAAATCCAGACTCCTGAAGAATCTCAGAATCGGCAAAGAGAAACAGAGGTAGGCATCTTTATGTTTGGTGAGGAGCTAAAGCTTTGAGTAGAACTTTATGAAGGCAAGATTCGGTTTCATGTGTGACGCTCGCCTGCTGAATACCTGCAAAGGTAGTAATCACTCTGTCTCCTCTCCAGGTTGCATCAGAAGTTTGGAGGTGGCCCACTTCCTGACAACATACTCTGTGGGTTGACAGGTGGCCAGGCTGCTCATACAGCTGTTCATTGAGCCGATCTGAGCACATCCGATGACCAGGCTGCTCATACGGGCTGAAATGAACTGTTGTCGTATCACAGCTGGAGAGGCTGAAAGGCCCTGGACAGTTGATTAAAAAAAAACACAAAATTAACAGTGTCTCTGTGGGACAATGAGGATGTCGGAGTCCCCGGTGAAAACCAAGTGGGTCCCGGGGGGCTGGAGTTTATCCCAGCTGACTTAGGGCGAAGGCAGGACAGGTCACCAGTCTGTCACAGACAGCCAAGTATTCTTACATTCACACCAACCATTTTACAATTGTATTGTGATATTTTTTTAAATTTTTATTTCATTTAACCTTTATTTAACCAGGTGAGTCCCATTGAGATTGACATCTCTTTTACAAGGGAGCCCTGGCCAAGAGGGCAGCAACAAGGTTTGCAACAATACAACACACAAAAAATAAGCTAATTAATGTAACATCACTATAAGGCATAAATACATGGAAAACATACAGTACGTAAAAACTCATTTAAAGCAGCTACAGACTTCTTTTTTTACAGTTTGTAACAAACATTTAAAATCTCCCAAGGAAACAAGGTCAGACAATTTGAGCATTTTCTGGATCAAATTCCAGGACCAAGGGGCATTGTAACAAAACGCAGTCTTCCCAAATGCAGTGAAGGCACGAGGGACCGAGAACAGTAAAATGTCCTGGGAGCGGAGGCTGTACCCACTGGTAGAGCGAACAAGGAGGCGATTTAAATAGCCAGGGAGAAACCCTAAGATGGCTTTGTAGATGAAAATGTGCCAGTGGAGCCATCTGCGGTAATGGAGTGATGTCAGTCCAGACCCTTCATAGGTGGGTGATGGGTGAGAGATTTGGCATTTAGAATAAAACGCAAGGCACCAGGATACACAGTGTCTAACACCTTAAGGGATACAGCAGGGGCATGCATATAAAGAACATCACCATAATCGATCACAGGGAGAAAGGTAGTCATGACAAATCTCCTTCTGGCAGCGAGGTGAAAACATTGCTTATTTCTAAAATAAAAACCTAGCTTTAATCTGAGTTTTTTGACAAGTCTATCCAAATGAGTGGAAAAGGTTAGTGTGGAGTCAAGCCAAACCCCAAGGTATTTATAGGAATCCACTAGTTCTGTGCACTTTCCCTTAGAAGTGGAGATGTTAGGAGCAGGAGGCCTGGAGTGTGATCTAGAGAAATGCATAACTTTTGTTTTACTTGCATTTAAGACCAGCTTAAGGTTTTTAAAGTCGGCCTGAATCAAAGTAAACAATTTTTGTAAGTGCTGGAAAGCGCAAGACAGAGAGGAAGCACAAGAATAAACAATTGTATCATCAGCGTACAGATGAAAGTTGGAAGAATCAGAATCTGTTATATGTTGTTGATATAGATCATGAACAAGATGGGCCCCAGAATGGAACCTTGGGGCACACCCCGAGCAATTGACTTAGGAGATGACCTCTGCCCATCGACAAGGACTGTCTGGGACCTGTCCGAAAGATAACTAGCGAACCAATTAACCGAATCAAGACTCAAGCCAATATCATGAAGCCTATTAATTAAGATGGTGTGGTCCACAGAGTCAAATGCCTTGGATAAGTCAATAAACACTGCTGCACAGTGTTTATTATTATCAAGGTTTTGAGTTAAGTCATTTAGCACTTTGGAGGCAGCAGTTATTGTGCTGTGACCAGATCTAAAGCCAGACTGAACAGAGTTAAGCTTTCTGTACATACTATTTTGTTTGACATTTGCATATAAGGAGCAAAGTCATTTGCAATTTCCTTATACATTGTGTAATGTCAATGAAACAGATTCTGATTCTGTGGACAATTTTGAATCAACGATTACACAACGGTGCTAGCTAGGGCCCAACCGAGTTATTGGCTGGCCGATTAAATCGGTCGGCCCTAGTGCTAGCCACCGCATCACCATGACACCCACAGGAGAAAGTAATGAAAGTGAGAATTATGCAATACATTGAGTAAGTATTTTTTCTTAAAAATATGAAACTAAAATGGTTTGGTGTGGTGTGTCTTACGTGTGCTGAGAAATGTGTGTGTGCTTGTGTATGTGTTAATAAACAAAAATAAAACTCTACCTTCCTGTCTCTCCTGTCTTTCCGTGTCCATCGGCTCACACTTTTTTTTTGCCTACATGCAGGTGAATGTGGCCAGATATCTATATGAGCTTGAAGTGGTTCTCACAGTGTTTTTCATTAGCGTCCCAGACTGTAATAATAATGCAAAATTCTACTCACTCTTCATGGAACATAAAAGAAATGTTGCGTTTACAGTGACAGCTTGTAAATAAACTGGCATTTTAAGGCAAAGCTAATAAATATTTGGTAGTAATGAACAGGATTGGTGTTGGTTAAAACATTCAACTCAGTGAAAGTGTAAAATGATAAAAAATAGTTTTAGGGCAATTTTTTATTTATTTTTTTGGCAAGGACCCTTATGTCTGTGCGGTCCTCTGCATAACTTTTGAAAATTGATGACTGAAGGCTAATAAATAACTGTTAACTGTAGTACAACCTCCAATATCCTCTAGTGAGCTAGTTCATATCAGAGTTCATGCCTGAGGAGTTGCCAGACCTTTTATGCTCAGTCGCAGGACTTCCCCAACAGAATGCAGCTCTCACTGTCAAAAAGGTCTATTGTTTGGCAAAGTTTTAACATCAGCCACCATAAACATTCTGCATTATATTCATTTAGCACAGACAATGCAAGTCACATTCTTTCTTAGTACCCATTGGAGCTAAAGAAATGAGCTGTTACTGTTGAGTTGCATTGCTGTGCTACCACACCCTGTCACACAAACACCCTGTCACACAGAAGAAAACTGATATAATGTGCATTTATGTTCATGTTCATGTCAGCACCCTGTTGTACTTTCTCAAGCAGGTGATGCGTTCTTTGCATTCTTTGGGTTCTAATGCATTCAGATTTTCTTTTTAGAGAGCAACTGACAGATGTGTTTCTGAGATTTCCTACCAGTGTTGCTGAACACTAACCAGAGGTTTCCCGTCTGCCCAGTGTGGGCTAACCAGTCTTAGGGCATTTCCAGTTGAACAATTCATTTACTGTAATTCTACTTGTGGATTGAATTCGATGGGATGGGTGTGGTGAGGCATGTTTTGTAACTGGCTTAGAGGTTAATCACAGTCACAAGCTTAAGTTTCGTTTTAACATTAGTTGGGACATATTAAGTGATGAGTTGCCCAGGAAGTTTTGAGTGTAAACTCTTTATTTTCTCTATTTTGCTCTTAATTCTGCTACTAATTTGTACCTTTTCTGTATCAATTTAAGGTGCAAATGCCTGTATTTTTGTAAAGAAAATCGCAAAATTCAGGCACCAGGTAATAATAATAATAATAATAATAATAATAATAATACTTTTGGGTCTGTTGTTCGTACGTCGGTCCTTTTCACATTAATAATAAATTATTTCATTTTTATTCACTTAGAACCTAACTGGACTTCAGTAGGTCATTTGTGTTTCAGCAGGATTCCTGCTCACATTCTTTCTACATATTCAAAACATATCACACATATCAGTGTTTTGGGGAGATTTTTAGGAGTCATTGACTTCTCAACGTCAAGAATAAGACACATTTGGTCCAAACATTAATCACAAGAGATATTGTTAAAGCCTCTGAGTAATTCTGGACAACAAAATCAACGTTTCTGAAAGTAAACTTGAAATAATGACCAAGTGGCTCAGTCGTACCTTACTTGCATGTCAGACTTTTTAAAAAGTGCTGCACCGACTGATCAAGTGGCAGGAATGAGTCAAAAGTTTAAGAAGTTGTATGAGCTCATTTAATTTGTACAGGTAGGTGTTGCTCCTGCTTGGCTGTAGGTTTGCCACTCCTCTAGAAATCATAGTTCAAGTTACAGCAGGTCACGGAAACCACTGGAAGTATACGTCATAGTTTGAATGAACAGGAAGAGCTTCATTTGTCTGCCTAAGTTTCATTTACTCGGAAGATACAATGGTGAGTAGCTGCTTTCCAATAGTTTCCTTTGTCAGTGTTTCAGTTATATATGTATAGATATAAATATCTTGATGATGATTTTTTACATTGCTGATTTATTTTTTGGTTGTCAGTGAATTTTAAAATTTTAAAATGTGTTATGTTATTTGCAATTTTACCAGGCTGCTCAACGGAAGAAAAAGTAAGTTAACTGATTTACTAAAACTCAAAGTTCATCACTGCATTGTGCAGTTTGGTCTTGTTAATTTAACTGATGTTTATTATTTAAGGCAGGAATATTTGAAAAGTGAAGAACTTTTCAGAAGGAAAGCTTACCTCATTATAACTGAAATGGTTGAGCTGAGTATCCAGACTCGAGAAGATACTTCAGTGTTAGTGGATGAGGTACGTTGGATGAGAACGTAATTCAAAATAGAACATAAGATACAACATGGTCAATGATATTTGTGTGTGTGTGTGTGTGTGTGTGTGTGTGTGTGTACAGATTCTTCACAGCATCTTCTTTTTGGGAAGGATCCATAAACCACCAATTTCCCCAGAAATTATTCTGAAAGATGATGATGAGGCAGAAAACCTACTCAGCACATTGATGTCCTGCTACCCTCGGCCTTTTGAACTCTATTCCAGTCAGCTGCCCAGGAGGAGTCCATTTTCATGTGTGCTAGACATGGTAAGGTTATAGTTTGTCAGAAAAGGATTAAATTCTTCATTGTGAAGTCGTATAAACCTGCTCAAATACTACAGTTTGTGATTAAAGTACATCATTGCAGTTTGTGGGCACAAAGCCACAGCTTGATATTATGTGTGATTGTTTACAGACGGTCCTTCTAGTTGGACAAGAGAATGAAGAGGAAATAAAAGACAGACTGCAAGATTTCATCGATACGGTGGAGGAAGACGTTCCATCAAACCATTTGATTTCTTCCACCATCTGTGTCTCTCAAAAATACAACAATTCAGTCCGGTACTACGGAGTCTCCATGTCCACTTCTGGTCGTAATGCAGGGAAAATCATGGTTGCTGCCTCGTGTTTTGGTGCCTGGGATGATTATGTCGCTGATGCAGTGATGACCTACTATCCAGATAAGTCCAAGAAGGAATACTTTGATGGTACCATTGAAATACCTGAGGATGTCAGGTGTCAGGCTTTTAACCTTAGATATGGAGATGAAAAGCATCCTTGCAGATCATGTGGGAATTTGTTTGGCTTGAACACACATGAAGGACAAAAGTGGCCCTATGGCAACTGTGCTGAAGTTGAAAGTTTGAGCAACTTGCTAAAAAATGAGAACGAAGTTAAAGAGCAGTCACAACCAAGATCTGAGACTTGGACACCTGAAAACAGGCAGAGAGCCAGAAAAAGTGTTCTTAAGGACCTTAAGGCTGTGTTACGCACGATCCAATTTAAAACCTGGGATGGTGAACATTTCTACGACCCTCTGGCAGGATAGTCGTGAAGAGGGGGGATACTGTCATCTGTTGTGATCTGATTCTTCGACAATAAAAGATAACCACTGTTAAACCATGTAATCATAAAATCAACATTGCATGCTTTATCTTCTGGTTGTGCTTAATAACAGTCAAGATTAAATGTATTCATAGCAAACATTGCAAGCGTGTCAAAATTTGAAATGCAAAACATGCAAAATATATGTAAAACATGTTGTTCGCAATAAAACCAAACTGTCACCTGAACCAAAGTCAGTGCTTTATTGTGAGACCTTCGGGCACATGATCAGATTTAAATGGAAAAATATTGTTTACACCCCACAAAAAAGTGCAGTTTAAAAAGAAAAGGTGTGAATGTGAGTGTGGTTGGTTGTCTGTCTGTAAGTGTAGCCCTGTGATAGACTGGTGACCTGTCCAGGGTGTCCCCTGCCTTCGCCCTGAGTCGGCTGTTTGTAAGTGTAGCCCTGTGACAGGCAGGACTGTGATCAAGAATGTGAAGTTTGAGGAGGACTGGAGCATGTACAGGGTCGTCAGACACACTTCCTCTTTGATGGTGAATGATCACAATTCAGAGCGCTGCCATAGTCACGCCCTTTGACTTTTGAGGAGTGTTTTAATCACAGAGCCCTGTGGTATGTGCTGGCCAAATTTGAGGCGTGTGGGAGTTAACCCCCAGGAGGAGTTTGCTCTCGAATATGACAAAAATCACGAAAAATTTCACAGTTAATTAAAAATGGCGGACTTCCTGTTGGATTTTGGGTATGGGTCCGGCCCCTAAGTCCTACACAGGCCTACCAAATTTCGTAGCTGTAGGTGAAACTTCCTGCCCGTAGTAGATGTTAAAAAGTGTGTAGGGGACCATTTTAAGACGCACATCCGCAAGTCTCATAAAATTTCAAAAGTTTTGCCAGTTCTGATGTATCTGCAAATTATTATGAGTTTTGGAGCATGTTTAGACCCTCAAAAATTCAATTGTTCTGTTCTTCCTCGGGGTCCAATATGGTCCTATGCACTGTTGAACGCGGGCCCTAATTACATGTGCGTCATGATGTCGTGTTGCGTTCAGGGACGTGATTAAGTATCAGAATTGACTTCTGCGACTTCAACATCAAACAACGACCTAAGTTGTGATTAGACCAGAGGTGCCATTTGGGGGAACGAAGAGCTTTAAACATTGCAGTGACAATCGATGGTTTAGTGATAAGCGCGTAGACGTAAAAGAAGTAAAGAGTAGCCAATGTGGTTTGTTTTCTTTATTTACTCATCAGGGCATAAATCATTAGAATTATACACCTGTGTGGACAAGATAGGTGTCAGAGAATGTACATGTTGAGCGCTTCTTATCACCTGTCTCTCTTGCTGATTTGAGCGTCTTAGAAGAAGAAACCGATCCTCCGACGTGGTAAATTCCAACATTTGGTGAGTACGTGGAGGCAGCGTGTGGAGGAGTGGTTGACGTTAAACGCAACTGCAGAGTTTGTGGAGTCACAGTTGCGCCTGAGAGGACAGACGGCGTCAGTCTGTTTGTGTCCAAGTGGTAACTACTTTTATCTGAACTTATTTGCTATGATTACGAACCGTCTTTTACAACTGAGCTTCTCGAGACTTGATAAAGAGCTTTTAAAATGTCGTTTGCTGCGTACAGCCGCTAGCTTGTCAGCAGGTTAGCTAGCGAAGCCGTTAGTTTTGATGGAGAGTTGGTGAAAACAGGTCGTCAGTGCATTTATTAATCGTTTCTACTGACTGCTGTCCTAATTATTTACCATGATGTCGTTGTGTTATCCTGGGAAACCGTAGGTCTGCTTTGTGTGTGTGACTTACGAGTTGGTTTCGTTTTCAGCTTTGAGCCTCGAGCTGCTGCTGTAATGAATTTTAATTGAAAGTTTTAATTGTCAGTAACTGATGAAAGACTGAATAACTTCCTGGAAAAAAAAACAATACTTTTAAACGACATATAAAGGAAATGAAATTGGCTGCTAACGTTGTTATAGCTACGAAATGCAAATTTAATTTATTAGTATATTTGTCAATACATATATTTAATTATTTAGTAATTATAGCCACACTCCTACATCATTTTAAGTCTAACACTAAACTAAAGAATACCTCTACATTTCTTTAAGTATGGTAATTTTCTTATTCGGGTTGTCCTGTGCTCTTTGCCACCAGTTTGATCTGAATCATTTATTATTTAGTATCTGCTGATACTGAGCCCCAATCTGATGCCATTTTCTGAAATAATACACGCTTAAAATACATTGAAGTTATTGGTATAAATCCCATATGCTTAAATCCAGGCTGCTCCTTGGAGCTCAGGTGTTTAAGACAAGCCGGGATCAGCCAGGACAGTGTTCCTGTATCACAGTCATGTGTGTAACAGAGCTGCATTTGCTGCCCAAATCATGTGTCTGGTGACTAAAACAGAAATATCGCCACGAGACAAATGTCCACTTGGTTTGTCTTATCAATCAGTTAACAATGCACTGATGATGCCGCTGATTTTTGGATTAGGAAAATAATTTAAGTTACAAACTACTTTGATTGGCCCCAATTCCAATCTTTGAGATTTTATCAGGAATAAATCCCTTAAATTTCATTCTGTCATACAGATGAAAAGCACTGATATAATAATATATCCATCCATCCATCTGTTATATAAATACACAGTCGTCCTCAAATTTATTCATACCCTCCCATTAAAGAAGGGAAAAAAACAGCTGTCACTAAATAAGTTGAAATTGACAAAAGTAATAATAAACAATAAATAAAACATTTAATGAAAATCATGACATTGCTTTTGAATTGTGGTTCAAAAGAAATATGTATATAAACAAAAAACAAACAAACAAACAAACAAAAAACAAGCATGATGGGACCCATAAACTAATATTTAGTTGAACAACCCTTTGAGCCAATCACTGCAATCAAGTGTTTTTAGTCTGCAATCAGACTTCTGCACCTGTTGACAGATATTTAGATTTTGGCAAAAGCAACGTCTTTTTTCACAAAATATCTAATTTAGCAAATTTTGATTTATTATTACATTTTCATTTTCTAGTTATTTGAGTGACTATTGTGAATTTTGCTGTTTCTTTAATAGAAGGGTATGAATACATTTGAGGACGACTGTACACCACTTAATCCTCACTAGGGTCGTGGGGGGCTGACTCAGGGTGAAGGCAGAGGACACCCTGGACAGGTCACCAGTCTATCACAGGGCTACACTTAGAGACAGACAACCAAGCACACTCACATTCACGCCTAAGCACAATTTAGAATCACCAGTTAACTCCAACATGTTTTTGGACTGTGGGAAGAAGCTGGAGAACCCGGAGAGAACCCACGCTACACGGGGAGAACATGCAAACGCTACACGGGGAGAACATGCAAACTCCACACAGAAAGATCCTGGGCATCCTAACCACCAAGCCACTGTACAGCCCTCAATAAAATATCTGAAAGTTAAATTTAATGCACCTCAGGTATTTAATTTAATTTTATACTGTCAATCTGCAACATTTTAGAGAGAAAATATAGTATTTTCACAACATTTATCTGGTGACGTTATGACTGGTTGTCATTTTATATTACAGTCCAAAGCAGTTTGAGTCAGTTGATTGGCTTTGACACAAATATGATCATGATTTTTTTTTTTTCTAGGTTACAGAAAGCCAGGATGGCGGCTGCTACATTCATGAGGTATCCACAAGAGCCAAGTCTCTTTTCTTTGGGGAGGCTGAATAAATCAGCAGATACATGTGGAGAAATGTCCACTGCAGTACATTTACCCATTGTAGACATAAGGCTCTTGCTTGCAGACACTACGCTGTACTTTTGAGCTGATCATTTTCTGTAACCTCCTTTCTTTTCCATCTTTCAGTGCAGCTGATACACTTGTTCTGCCGGATTTGGGGCAGTGCAGGCAGACAGAAGGTTGGCAACACCTGATAACCTTAGTGTTGAGCCTTTCATACGTTTCTACATATTTGTCGATGTTCTCTCATCTTGTCAAACTGTGTTACAGGTGCAGCATACCTGGAGTGGGTGTCAGGTTTTGTATCCACCTACAAACACAAGAAGGTAACTTTGAAGAAACCAGCTGGTGCCTCATTGAAGATAGCAGGACTTGATGACACCATTTACAGAGGGAAGCATGATGAGGTGAACGGTTGGGGAAAGTTCTACCTTCCCAAGATAGTGAACATGCAGGTTGTAGGTGTGGTGGAGGGAACGTCATGTCACTGTGACCAGCTTGTTCTGATGACATGTGAGGACAAAAAGCTGTACGCCTACGATGGAGAGGAGCTGCATCTGGTGGCTTCAAGCCTGGAGCGACTTGGTGACAAGGAAATAGAATATCCAGCATCCAAGAGCTACTACAACGGGGAGGCCTTCGATGATATGGTGAGAGGCTACAGTCATTTACAGAGAATGAGCAGAGCTTAGGGATCCTTGATGGAAGTGAGAGATCACCTGACAGGTTTTTTTTTCATGTCGTCTGTTGTGTGTAGACGGAGGAGGACTGGGCGAAAGTAAAGATGGGAGCTGTGGGGAGGAGTTTGGAGCAAGAGCATCGAAAACTGGTGGAAGCCAATAAGTCCACATTCATGGAAAACCTGAAATCAGCAGGACACACGTAGGTGGGTATTTGTCCTCACATGAACTTATATCATGGAGGTCATCACAACCCACCTTAAGTCTTTTAATGTTTAAAATGGTGTCAAAATAAAATACAGCAGCTGTTGGCTGGGAGATAGAAACATGATTTCAGAGCCCCTTTCAGATTTTCGCTCCTCTCTCTTAATCTGACCCCTGAACATGTCTGCTTCATGCCTGATTGAGCGCCATGGGAACAGTCACAACCGCAATCTTATTAAGTCAGACCTTGTAATATTTCTGTATCGCTTTCAACTTGGCACAAGTCTGAGCTGTGTACACAATAATAGTAAGGTGTGCTCCAGATTTCAATATGTTTTGAGATGTGTGAAAGTGTTTAGGAACCTTTTGCTAATTCCAGCACTAAAATTTGTCTTTAAACCACAAACCACAGAGAGGGCAAAAGGTGCATTTGTTTGACAGAGGCCAGACACAGACCTCTCCAAAACCACAAAACTCTGTTCATGTTTCAAGCTGAGTCTTGTCTATTTTGCTCTATATTGTTGCCTCTTTACTGAATAAAACTCTCATGAAAATACAATCTACTGTCATAAATGTAGTCGAGGTTTGCAGTCGTGACTTATTGTGTGTGGATGTCTCCAGCAACTACACTGTTGCCCATAAAGTTAGAATGAAATATTTTTTCACTTGATAGATAAAGTGTATATCTTCTCAAAACTTTCTTGATATCACAATATACATACAATACATATCACAGTAAAACATTTAAACCACAATTAACTTTTGCAAACTGTGTATTCAGGCTTAAACTAAATTGTTGGTACTGAACAATAGGATTAAGGGTTTTGTTCAGTTTTTCAACCTTGGTCATATCACAAGAAACACATATTTGAGGGGATTCCATGCATTAGAATGTCCAAAATTACTCTTTCAAATGTCACTAATATTGAGTATGGCCACCGCTGACATAGATCAGTGCGTTCGTGGCATACTGTCCACAAGCTTGTTGATGGTGTCAATGGGCAGGACGTCCCACTCTTTAGTCAGATCCCAAAGCCAGAATTTGTTTCACCTGGTTACTGGGACTCAGTATGTGATCATTGCAGCCGGTCAAACGTGATTGCCGATGTGTATAGAAAGAAGAATGTGCTTGAAAACAAAAAATATTCCATTTTTATGGGCAACAGTGTACTTGTAGAATGTGACCTAGTTGTTAAAGTAACTACCAAAATACGGCAACAGGTAACCGAACAACCATGAAAACACATTTTCTTGTATCATAAGTGGCTGTAGTTGGACAAACGATCACACATCAACAAAAATGTTTAAGAAATGATAAATAACCTGTGGTGTCAAAGTTTGACAAGCTTGCTATCAGTTTAGATTTAGTCTTTTGTTTAGTAGCATTATCACGCATTGTACATGACTTGATGAACTATCCAGTGTCGTGTGTATCATGCATAGATATCCCAGTTATTGTGGCTCTATCACTGTAGTGAGTGTGAATGAAGCCATGAGGAACATTAACAGAACACTGACCTTTGTCTGAAGGACAGAATCCTGTCACTTTAACAGACTGATAAAGCAAGCAATGTTTTGTGTCCCTTGTTTGGGAAAAAAAAAGGACTTTTGTTATGCAGCATTATCAGTTTTGTTATGCTGATCATGGATTGCCTGTTATACTCTTTTTCTTCATTGTCTTTATAGATGCTGGTGTTGGGCCCCAAAGAAACGACATGAAGTCAAAGTCTCAGCAGAAATCACGATTATTTGTATCATGAAATATTACAGCATGTTTCTCCTCTGACCACACACTAACGTCAATGTCAAGGCTCGATGTGTAAAATGATAGTGCTTATATTGTTCCCATTTACGTGTGTTGCTGGATGTCTGATTTATTCAAACTTTCCAAACAGAAGCGGCCATTTTATTGTGATACAGTCCGCTATGCTTGTGATGCTGTAAGTTTTAATAATGTATCAGAACGCAGCAGGGTGTCCTATATTATCTGCAAAAAAATAAATAAATTTAAGCTTATTCCAGCTTGCATCATTGGAGCGGCCGTACACTCGGCACAGACATTTTATCACGACTAACAAGCAGTGACGCGTTGGGGCCGGTTTGTTATTCACTGATCGTGCATAACTGTGAACTGTGGAAAGAAACTGAAGGATGTTGACAAGCAGAGCAGGAAAACTCCACCCATCGAAAAAAAACTGCTGAGATAAAGAAATAGTTCACTGTTGAGACTTATTTGTGTCGCCCTGCTTATGTCTTTTTCAAGCTGCCTATGTTTTGTTGTTGCATACAACTTTTAATTTCATTCCTTTCTGCAGTTTAGAGTCTGACCTTTGCTCCCTCATTAGCACAGAAGCTCGTGAAATTATAAAACTGCATCAAAGACTTCCCACAATACATAGTAATGAGCTTATAATGACTTTTGTAGTAGAATAAACATATCTAGGTGACATTTCTTTGACTGCGTCATCATTAAATGTGTTGATCCTTGCACACATTGAGCTGATAATGCAGTAATACGTAATAAAGTAAAGTTAGACTACCTCTCAAAGTTTATATTCACTGTTTACTTCATTACTGATATCATCTTAGCATAGTTGTCTCATGGAGCTTTTCTCCCAGAAGTTAAGGTAAAGAAGTGAATTTAAGCTACACAAGATGTTAAATTAATGGAGCAGTGTGTTTGTAAAGCAGAGTAAATCTCTTTATCTAAGTGCAGTGGTGGTGCATGTTCTGCAGTTAACAAACACAGCTCAAATTCCAGTTCAAGGGTGGATGTGGATTTACTAGAAATCACATGACAAAGCCTTTAAGGCGTTGGCTTGTCTGTGAGGCAGATACCAGTTTGTAATTCTAGTTTCATTTTTAGACTGCAGCAATGGTGAGTAGAGCAGCTTTTTACTGTCGTCCTCTCAGCCAGCGTTTGATAAACATTAAATCCTCATGCAGTTCTGTGGGGATATTATTGTAGCAAAACTATTTGTAAATGTGTATGGAGACCTGTGTGTCTGTCGTGAGATCTGTTGATGTGTACGAAGATATTAATACATGAAAGTATTTGGCTACAAGTGGTGGAAACACAAACAAATCACCAGTTATGAGTCAAGCGGGCCTCACAGTTGGCTGTCTTTTTACACATGACTTTTGCTACACCTCTGCTGTGAGAAATTCGTATCTGTAACTTCAGGGTTTTTGTGTCCTGAGCTCAGGCTCACAGGCTCGTTCATTCTGGTTGCTTGCTGCTCTGCTGCTCTGTACCTCAGTAGCTATGCTGCCTGCAATCCATAAGGTGGCGCTATCCCCCAGGGCCTATGAGGGCACGCAACAGTGTCTGGTACATTGTGAACAAGTTGCTGAGTCTGTTGGTTGCTGAGCAAAAACTTTCATGATGGCAGGTGGCATAACAAATAACAGAAATGTAGCAAAAGTCATGTGTAAAAAGACAGCCATTGTGAGGCCCGCTTGACTTATACAACTCTCCAAACTCATTTACAAATAGTTTTGCTACAATAATACTCCCACACACTCCTAATTCTGTCAGTCAAGTGTTTTAATTCTCGTGCTTTTTTCCCCCTTTGATGATCAAAACAGGACGCAGCAGAGCAAAGCAGGTGAGTCTGCAGATTCACCCGACCAAGCTTCAAGTCCTGTAATATGTTTTTAGCTGCCTAACTACTCCATCATTGTGTTAACAGAAGGGAACAATTTCTGAGGGATCAATATGGTTTCAAAACAAATGCCTTCAAGATCATCAACACCATGGTGGACCTGTGTAACAAGACACCAGGAAGTGAACACTTGGTTGATGAGGTAGGTTATATTCATTTTGAACACGGATATCTAAATATCTACATAAGCTGTAATTTCCAAGATAACAAGTAAATGTTTTTACTCAACAGATTCTTCACAGCATCTTCTTTCTGGGAAAAATCAACAGACCGCCCTTCTCGCCAGAAGAAATTATTCCTGATGAGCAGATGCTGAGCAACTTGATGGAGAAATATCCCAGACCTTTTCTCCTCTACCTGAAACAACTTCCCAGGCGGAGTCCATTCTCCTGTGTGATGGACATGGTAAGATAGCATGCACTGTTTGTGGAACACATTTCTCATTTGTACGGCAGCTTTCATACAGGCAAGTATAAGCGTTGTATTGATGACAAATCTACACTAAAATGTGTTCAACAATACATTTTACATACATTGAAAACAACTAAAATAAATAGTTAAAACTCAATTGTATTATATTGATTTTCCCTACAAATCATCTCCGTTGTTAAATTCAACAGGGTAATGATAATGTAGTTTACATGTGTAACGTCTTGATGATATATTTAACTGTTTCCAGATTGTCATGCAGAAAAAACCTGAGAATGAAGACCAAATAATGCAGAATCTGCGAGATCTCATCAACACTCTGGAACCACGGTTTCTGGTCTCCTCCACCATCTGTGTCTCTCAGAAATCCAACAATTCAGTCCGGTACTACGGAGTCTCCATGTCCACTTCTGGTGCTAATGCAGGGAAAATAGTGATTGCTGCCTCATCTTGTAGCACCTGGGATGATTATGTAGCTGGTGCAGTGATGACCTACTATCCAGTGATGTCCAAGAAGGAATACTTTGATGGTACCATCAAAATACCTGACTATGTCAGGTGTCAGGCTTTTAATCTCAAAAGTGGAGGAAAAATGAATCCTTGCAAATCATGTGGGAATTTGTTTGGCCTGAGCACAGATGAAGAAACAGAGTGGCCCTATGGCAACTGTGCTGAAGTTGAGAGTTTGAGCAACTTGCTAAAAAATGAGAATGAAGTTAAAGAGCAGTCACAACCAAGATCTCCCACATGGACACCTGAGAACAGGGAGACAGCCAGAGAAAGTGTTCTTCAGGACCTTGGGGCTGTGTTACACACGATCCAATTTGAAACCTGGGATGGTGAACATTTCTACGACCCTCTGGCAGGATAGTCATGAAGAGGGGAGATACTGTCATCTGTTGTGATCTGATTCGTCAACAATACAAGATAACCACTGTTACACCATGTAATCATAAAATTAACATTGCATGCTTTATCTTCTGGTTGTGCTTAATAACAGTCAAGATTAAATGTATTCATAGCAATCATTGCAAGCGTGTCAAAATTTGAAATGCAGAACATGCAAAATATGTATGTAAAACATGTTGTTCGCAATAAAACCAAACTGTCACCTGAACCAAAGTCAGTGCTTTATTGTGAGACCTTCGGGCACATGATCAGATTTAAATATTGTTTACACCCCACAAAAAAGTGCAGTTTAAAAAGAAAAGTTGTTGAATATTGATATCTTATTGGTGTCATTCATATGATTCTTATATTTTGGTGTTGTTCTTTATCAGTAAAAATCTGGGGAAAATGACTCCACTGCTATTATCAGGCAATTACACTTGTTTGTGAGCTTCATAAAATCAGAAGTAAATCAGGTTTTATATTTGCAAACGTCTGATGCTTCAGCTGATTGTGGTGCGTCGCTGCACGTATTGAGAACAGAAATGTGAATGATTCATGGCAAAAACGTAGAAGCATAAATAACTGTGATGCAATCTCAGATTCGTTGTGTCTTCATCTAAAGAAGCAATTCTTTTCATTTTTGCCAAAATCCTAATAAGGACGCCTCTGCTCAGATGCGTTCACTGACTTAAAACGTGCCCCGCGTGTATGATAAAAACGGCACAAACATCATCATAATTCTACTGGTCTGTTTGCAAGATGACTCTCTGACAACACATCTGTCAGTGACATATTCTTCTTATTCTCTTCCCTCACTGAGTAGAGTGAAAAAAGAACTGCAATGGGCGTTGCACGGCGGCGTCTGAAGAGCACTTGAAGGCAGCACGGCGGGGAGAGGTAGGTTCGGTCTGTGGAGACCTTCCGGGGAGAGGACGGACAGGCAGGCTGGATAATCATGCTAAATTAATCAGAGACACGCTAATATGGGAAACTGTCGCCTGAAAAAGAAGCTAAAAACCCTGTGCGAGGTTCAGCTGTTAGCTTCCCAGCAGCAGTGAAGCAGGTTAGCTAGTTCACAGAAGTTATCGGTACATTTAATACTCGTTATGTCGGCCTTTGTCTAAGTTATGACCATTAATCGTCAACGCTTCAATTGCTGTTAGTTCATGCGGTGTATCCTGGTTGTTGTGTGATATATATATATTTAATTTTCCCGTTTCTAGAAGTGTAGTGATGCTGTGAGGCAGCGGATGGACGCTCATGCTGCGTTCAGGAACCTTCTGAACAGTTTTCCGTCATGTCGGGTAAGTGCGTCTGAAAATGTGTCCTCCAGAACAATTTAGAGAATCTATTCAACCTCATCTCCCTTCTTAATTCAATTCTATCATCACTAAAGCCCCTTACACTCTTTTACATGAACTGCTGGTAAAATGGGACACTTTATTTATTTTTTAAAAATGATTTTATAAAGAAATAAATCAGAGAAATTAAATAATAATAAAAAAAACTGGCGAAATAAGACAATAAAAAATTGAACATGTAATTTGCAGGCCAAAAGGAAAAATATTTCTCAGTGATTTTGATAGATACTTAAATCAAACAGTGAATATTTGTTTTCAGGTTTATAGTGATGTAACTATTTGAATGTCTGGGATCGTTAAGTCTCTTTATTATTATTATTATTATTATTTTTTAAAGTATTCTTTGAAAATTGCAAAGCTAAAATGTCCCAATTTGCCAGTTGTCCATTTCAACAATACTCATCCCAGCACCTAGTAAATCACAGATGATATTTAAAGTGCCTTACAGGTAAAATACAGAAGAGGGAAATGAAATTCATTACATCAGATAAATATCAAACAGTAAGTTTGTATGAGGTCTGCCTTCGGAAAAGTTGTCTTTTGTCTGCCCCAAACACGTCCACTGTTACTGTGGTCAAAACAACATTTCAAACGATCTGCTTTTTTTCCTGTTTGATTGTTGACAAATTCTAATTTTCCACTGCAGTTCTTTCTGGACAGTGAAGGCTTGCTGGCATGTCCTCCATGCAGATTAAAACAGTGCAATCTATTCCTATTTCTAGATGCATTAATTTGACACCAGCAGCTGCAGAATTACCTGCAGATCCTTTAAAGACATGTTGTGGTTATTGGAGTTTTTTTGTCTTTTGGCAAACAATCCACTCTCTGACTGAATTTGCCTTTGTCAACGGCAGACCTCAGATGTCAGCGGGCTTAAATACGAGACTTGTCACTCCCTAAAGGAGGCTCAAATTATTGACAAATAATCTGAAACCCCTGTCATTTTGCTTGAATATGTCACCTTTATTATTAGGCAATGTCTAAAAAAGGGCCGAAGATCAAATATTTTTAAAAAGGCAACAATTTCCATGGATGTACAGTAAATCAAAAGTCTTTATGACAGACTTAATTTTTCCTTGAATAACATTTTTTTTTCTAACCACCCTTTTCTGTCTTTCAGTGTGACTGGTCTACTTGTTATTCTGGATTTTCAGTGCAAGATGGCAAATGCTGACAATACGTCCTTCCTCATGTACTGTGCTAACCTTGTTATTTAGTTCTTCACATAACTGTCTCCACCTTGGCTGTGTCAGCTGCAGAATGCTCGACATGGTGTCACGTTGTGTGCAGTCCAAAAGCCTGAGACCACATCACAAATCCTATTTTCATGTAAACTGCAACATAAGTTAAAAGTTTAAGGACTTGGAAACATTTAAAAACACAAGATGTTCTGAAACGTAAAATTAAAAGATACTTAAAAATGTTAAATCTCTGCAGGTCACCAATCAGTTTGAAGCAGATCATTGGCAGTGACCATATTAACTTTGTCCAGAAGCTCAGATTTAAGTAGTAGAAGTAAATTAACTTGCAGCCGTTGTTCAACTGTTTGCGAAAGCGTGAAACATGGCATCAGAACTAAGTGAGGATGTCCGAAGTCAAATCGTTTTTCTGAGCAAAGAGGGGCTTTCTCAGCGTCACATCATGGCGAGACTGAAGGTCTCTAAAGGGGCGGTGCACGGCACTCTAAAACGCTTTGCTCAAACTGGATCGGTTGTAACCAAAGCACGATCAGGCAGACCAAAAGTGACCACACCGTCAGAAGATAAATACATCAGGCTTTGTTCACAGAGAAATAGAAAAATGACACCATCGCAGATACAGGCCTTGTTAAATAAAGAACGCAAGGCTCCAATCAGCAAAAGCACTGTGAAAAGAAGGCTGTCTGGTCATGGTCTTAGAGGACGAGGCTCTGTCTCTAAGCCAGCTCTCAGCAGGGAAAACAAAGCCAAACGCTTGAGGTGGGCTAAGACGTACCAGCATTTCACAGTGGAGGACTGGAAAAAAGTCCTATTTACTGACAAATCCAACTTTACAATTTTTGGCGGTAACAGAAGGGTGTATTTAAGGAGACAAACACGAGAGAGAATAATACAACGGTGTATCAAACCCACAATGAAACATGCTGCTGGGACTATTCAACTCTGGGGCTGTTTCGCCTACTCTGGAGTTGGACACCTGCATCGAATTGACTACAGTTTAACCAAAGAGAAGCATCTCTTCATTCTTCAGCGATATGCTATACCCTCTGGTTTGCATCTTTGTGGAGAAGGATTCATACTACAGCAGAATAATGAGGCCAAACTCACATCAGAGCTTTGCAAGAACTACTTGAAAACTAAAGAAGACCAAGGAATGCTGACTGTCATGAATTTTCCTCCACAGTCGCCTGATCTTAAACCCACCGAACATTTATGGAGGCGCTTGAAGGCTGAGAAAGCTAAACATTCAGCGTCGTCACCAGAGGGTCTTTGGGACATAGTCAAACCAAGCTGGGATAACATCGGTTGTCAGCTTTTGCACAGACTTGTGGAGTCAATGCCAGCCCGAGTGCATGCTGTCATTAAAGCAAAAGGAGGGCATACCAAATACTAACATATCAACTTCAGATGCGACATTTCCTTTTTTGTTAAAATGTACATTTCTATTAAATTCCAGCAAATGCGGAACAGAAGTATCTTCACTTGTGGTCTCAGACTTTAGGACCCTACTTATAAACAAAGAAGTTTAAAGAAAGCAGCTGGTGCCTCTTTGAAGATAGCAGGGCTTGAAGACACCATTTACAGAGGGAAGCACGATGAGGTGAACAGATGGGAAAAATGTCTTCAAAAGTTAGTGAACAGGCAGGTTGTAGGTGTGGTGGAGGGAACGTCATGCCACTGTGACCAGCTTGTTCTGATGACATGTGAGGACAAAAAGCTGTACGCCTACGATGGAGAGGAGCTGCATCTGGTGGCGTCAAGCCTGGAGCGACTTGGTGACAAGGAAATAGAATATCCAGCATCCAAGAGCTACTACAACGGGGAGGCCTTCGATGATATGGTGAGAGGCTACAGTCATTTACAGAGAATGAGCAGAGCTTAGGGATCCTTGATGGAAGTGAGCGATCACCTGACAGGTTTTTTTCATGTCGTCTGTTGTGTGTAGACGGAGGAGGACTGGGCGAAAGTAAAGATGGGAGCTGTGGGGAGGAGTTTGGAGCAAGAGCATCAGAAACTGGTGGAAGCCAATAAGTCCACATTCATGGAAAACCTGAAATCAGCAGGACACACGTAGGTGGGTATTTGTCCTCACATGAACTTGGATGCAGGGTGAATACACTGCCTATAAAAAGTATTCACCCACCTTGACTACAGTTCACCAGAGGGCATGTGGGAGACTCTGAGGTCCACTAGAAGAGGGTTCTTTGGTCTGATGAGACCGAAATTGAGCCTTTTGGTCTTCAGACGAGACACCTTGGTGGACATCAAACACTGCTCATCATCACAAACACATGGTGGTGAATACTAGCTTGTGACTCCTTCAGAGGAGTCATACGATGTGTGTCAGAAAAGTTCCAGGACTGGTGTCACAAAAGATATATTTCAAACCCAAACCACAAACTACCAGTTTTCCTCTTCAGATGATCAACAAGCACATCTAAAAAAAGATATCCTGCGACAAGAAGAGGTGAGAGTTGTGGCAGGACTAGTCGTGGCTGCTTCACCATGACAACGCGCCTGCTCACAATGCCCTGAGCATCAGTTCCTGGCTGAGAAGAACATGGCCGTGATGGAGCAACCTCCCTACTCACCTGACCTGACTCTGTGGGACGTCAAGGGGACTCGTTTTGAAGACGTGGACAACATCAAGATGGCTGTGACGACGG